TAGCTTTATAGCGCGTGGGGTGCACGCTTTAAAAGTAGCTGTAATCGATTTCTTGGGGTTTCTTTGTATATATTTAACTAAAATTACACCTATTCTGAAAAACTCGAAGTTGGTGTTGACTGTGTGTCGGTATGTTGGCAGTAAAGGAGGCGATCCCGAAGTATACCTAAAGAAGGTCTTGCAGTATCCAAAAACAGCTTTTTCACAGCTCGACCAAACCTACCTTCCCGTCCTAGACCAGTTGCTTGTTGAGCAGGAAGAAAGAGATAGAGAAGATTGGCTGCGCGTCTTTCGTAAATTCGTAGGTAGCATAGTCATTTTAGCAAGTCCACTTCCTGTTGGCCCCCTTGGGCGCCTCCTTCAAGCTCCGAAGAAACAAGTCAAATGCCGGTTAGATGCCTTGCACTCCGTTCTTAGTATTCCTGACAGGGAGGACGTTCCTATCAGGCTACTGCACCTGTCCTTTCGCGAGTTCCTCCTCGATCCCCAAAAGCAAGGAAAGAGCCCGTTCTGGGTGGATGAGAAAAGGACGCACCAGAAGCTTGCATCTTGCTGCCTTGAGCTTATGTCTGGATCTGGCGGTCTTCATCAGAACATATGCGGCCTTCCAGGCCCCGGAGTACTAAGGAGCGAGGTATATGAGCAGGCAGTTGCTACTAGGCTACCACCTGATCTACAATATTCGTGTCGCTACTGGGTTGATCATCTCAAGCAGAGTAGGCGAGACATCATTGATGGAGACGCGACGCACTTCTTTCTACAGAAGCACTTTCTTCATTGGCTTGAAGCTTTGAGCCTTATAAGGGAATCAAGCAGATGCGTTAACTTACTCAATAGTCTTGAAGCACTTACTAGCGTAAGATTCTTATAGAACACTTTCTTAATGCTCTACTAATATGCAATACAGCTATCTGAAAAGCTAGTTTTAGGCTTTCTTTACGATGCTAAGCGGTTCGTGCTGCGGTTTCAGTCTGTTCTTAGAGATGCGCCGCTGCAGGTTTATTACTCCGCGCTGGTATTCGCGCCAGAGAGAAGTCTAATACGACAAACATTTGTAGATCAACTGCCAGAAGAGGTCAAGATATTATCTATGCGAGAAACGGACTGGGACGCATGCCGCAGCACGCTTGAGGGCCATTCCTCCTATGTTACGGCGGTGGCTTTCTCTCCAGAAGGGCAGTTTATTGCGTCAGCATCTGGCGACAATACAGTACGGTTGTGGGAGGTGGCAACAGGGACGTGTCGCAGCACGCTCGAGGGCCACTCTAACCAGATTGTGGCAGTAGCCTTCTCGCCAGACGGGCAGCTAGTCGCGTCAATATCCCAAGACACTACAATACGGCTGTGGGAGACAGTAACAGGGGCGTGTTGCAGCACGCTAGAGGGCCATTCCAACGAGGTTAGGGCAGCGGCCTTCTCACCAGACGGGCAGCTAGTTGCGTTGGCATCCCAAGATAGCACAGTACAGCTATGGGAGGTGGCAACAAGAACGTATCGCAGCACGCTCGAGGGCCACTTCGACCAGATTATGGCAGTAGCCTTCTCGCCAGACGGGCAGCTCGTTGCGTCAGCCTCTAAGGACAACACAGTACGGCTATGGGAGGTAGCGACAGGGACGTGTCGCAGCACGCTTAAGAACTATTCTAACTGGGTCAGGGCAGTGGACTTCTCGCCAAACGGGCAGCTAGTCGCATTGGCATCCCAAGATAGCACAGTACGGCTGTGGGAGGTAGCGACAGGGACGTGTCACAGCACGCTAGAGGGTCATTCCTCTTATATCGCGACAGTGGCCTTCTCACGAGACGGGCAGCTTATTGCGTCGGCATCTGGCGACAATACAGTACGGTTGTGGGAGGTGGCAACAGGGACGTGTCTCAGCACGCTCGAAGGCCATTCCTCCTATGTCACGGCGGTGGCTTTCTCGCCAGACAGGCAGCTCGTTGCGTCAGCATCTGGCGACAACACATTACGGCTCTGGGAGACAATAGCGACGTGTCGCAGCTGGCAGCGTTTCCTGTGGCTTCCACCGGAATATCGATCATGGTCGACAATAGTACGTGAGGACATAGCTTGTCTGGGGCTTGTATCTGGTCATGTGGTTCTGCTCAGGATTTCCTAAAGTCATGCGTTCATAGACTCGCCTCATCCGTCAATGCGTAAGCTTTCTAGCGCAATGAAAATATAGTTGACTAACTATTGTAAGAAATCAAGTTAGTCTTGTTGTCAGCATTCTCCCTTGCTAACGAGCTTTAGGTTAGAGTCCACACGCTCAGACTGCCTACTAACTTAGAGCTAAGCCACATGTAACGGCGCAGGTAAGACGACTCGGATCAGTATCGGACGTAGGATCACTCAGAGGCATATGGGAGTGCGTGAGATCACAGAAGGCCTTGATTTGAGCAGCCACCTATAGGCCTGGTACGAAAGGATATCAAAAATCTACCGAACAACTATCTATGGGCGAGCTCTTCTTATACGTTTCCACCCATGTGATGTCCGACTTCGGGGACGGGTCATGTCTAGCTCTGTGACTAAGCTTGTCCGACTCGTGTCCGAGTCTGGTCTGCCGACAGTCTAGTCCTGGGAGCTTGGTCTGGCAGGTGAGAGAACACTGAGCCGTTACAAAAGTCGAAGTACCCTGAATTTGTCCCAGCACGGAGGGTATCCCAGCACTTAGGGAGGGACATTACCCCTGCATCCTAAGTCCTGAAGAGACTGGCCAGTATTTCGGAATACGGAAATGAGAGTCGTGGTTATTAATATTGTATACCCTGCGGCTCATCGCGATTAGCAGATTCATAGCCCTGTTCCGAGAGTTTCTCCGTGCCCTTACCAGTAGTGGGACAAATTAGCGGTATTTTATGAGCCAAAGCGTGCTTATGTAATCTATAGTGCGCCACAGACTAGGCTAGATCTGGATGAAACTCTAAAAATAAACTGTAGCTCTTGTTCCCAATGCCCCTCTTTGCTTGTGGGCGTCTCCTTTGTCGCGCCGCAGCGGCCGGCCTGAGGGTTGCTGCCACCCTCCGCCCATCCATCGCCACCACCACCACCACCACTACCCATCAACGCGCTTCGATAAGTATGGACAAGGCAAGTCGTGCATTGGCAGAAGGGGTTCCTCCGGGCGTCCCTTTTTCTTTCCGTGCTCTCGCAGACCATAGTGACGTTTCTCGCGCTACACTCCATCGTCGTTCACATGGCGGACGATCATTCGAACAAAAGGGCCAGGACCAGCAATACCTCACTCCATGGGAGGAGGAAGCACTCGTTAAGTTCATCCTGCAGATGGCTAACTTTGGCTATCCTGTCCGGATCAAGTTTATACCATCACTAGCATACCGTCTCACACTGCAGCGACCGCAATCCGCTAGACCACCTAAGCCGCCGCATATCAACTGGACGAGAGCATTTAGGAAGCGCCATCCGATACTCGAGGCAAGGATGGTTGGAGCGCTAGACTGGAACCGACACGACAAGAACATATACCCGAAGAGTGTACACTGGTTTGAGGTGATTGGAACAGTACTGCGGGACCCAGCGGTCCTAGCGGAAAATGTCTATAATATGGACGAGACTGGAGTCATGCTATCCATGCTGGGCTCGGTCAAAGTCCTTGTCGGTAAGGATGATAAGCGAAAGTATAGAGGTGCACGCGTCAAGCGTACGACTGTGACCGCCATAGAATGCATCGGTGGAGACGGTAGGTATTTAAATCCCATGATCATCTGGCCCGCTACTACCCATCGGAGTAACTGGACTATTCATCCTACCCCAGGATGGCAGTACGCGTGCTCTGAATCTGGATACACTGATTCCTACATTAGCCTAGAGTGGCTTAAGCGCATCTTTGACCCAGAGACCAAGGACCGAGCTAAAGGTAAGCCCCGGATATTAATCTGTGATGGTTTTGGGACCCACGAAACCCTTAAGGTTCTAGAGTTTTGCCTTAGAAACAATATTGTATTATGTCGCCTCCCATCCTATACCTCCTATAAGCTCCAGCCTTGCGATGTTTCCGTGTTTGCTGCTCTTAAGGCAGCCTATCGCGACGAGGTCGAGCGCCTAGAGCGAGGCGGGGTCAATGCGATAGGTAAAGAGCATTTTACCTTACTTTATAGTCGTGCCAGAAGCAGGGCATTCACACAGAGGAACATCAGGTCTGGGTTCTCTGCGTGTGGGTTGTTTCCGTTCAACCCAGACCGAGTGCTTCAAAGTATGCCAAAGCCCCCTCCGGAACTGACTCTTATCGACACGAATGAGGTAGAGGCCGGGACAAACTCCCAAGACACGGCTCAATCACCTACTACACCTGTGACGCCAGTGACAACGCAGGGGATAGCATCGCTGCAGAATATCATAATTAAGCAAGCCGCCTCATGTCTTAGCCCGGCGACCATAGCTAGTCTACAAAAGAATGTCCAGAAGATGTCAAAGGCTGCTCATTTAGCATTCTCTAAGGGTATCCTTCAGCGGGACCAGATTCAGTTCCTGACGAAGATCAACGATGAGTCTAAGGTTCGACGATTGGCCAAAGGACATATACTTGGAAGGAGGTTGGAAAAGGGTGAGGGAGCGGTTATGGGTTGGAACGAGCTTGAAAGAGCGCGAGTGAAGCGTGCTGAGCAGGCCGCCGCCGCAGCAGCTAAGTCTACCGGGAAGCGTGGAGGAAAGCGTAAAGGTACAATTGCAGGAGAGGGTTAGGCTAAGAAAGCGAGACGTAGTGACGTATAGGATGAAGTCTAGGTTGTAGGTTAGGTTGCATTAGCATGGAGGGCTCCTGAGGCGCCCATGCTGCATAACAGGAGAGGTTGACGCAAGCTTAGTGTTGAGCAGAATCGTTCTAGTCGATGAAACAGCTTATTTCCTCTATCTGTCAGCTGCTTTGGACTTCAAAGCTCAAATGACTCACCCTGCTTAGCTAAAAAAGCACAGCCACCTGTGCTGATAGTGATCAACTGCCAAGAAAGTTATGTAATCTTCAATACTGGCACTTTGTCCATGCGGGTCACGTTTTCCCTGCTCGCTAAAGTTTCAGGTACCGACCAGGGTAGTGAAGTCGCATGAATCTGCTTCCTGAAGCAGCTATACGGGCGATAGGAGCCGTCGAAAGTCATCTACGATTTAGTACGCGGTGCTGAACAGATCTATTGGATCGAAAACTGCGTTTTGTTACGGGGTGATGTTGTAGACGGAGGCGTTCGTAATAGCTGAATAAGATGCTCGCTGTTTTTTTTTTTTTTTTTTTTTTTTTTTTTTTGTTCGTCCTGTGTCAGCCGGTAGGCTATATAAGACGTGCGGGCTATGCCTATGACTTGCCGTACTATGCCTAGGATGCCTATTCTTGTTTACATGATTGTAGTGGTCTAGTTGTCAGATAAGTGGCAGAATCCGGGGCTGATCACTGGTGATCCCAGCCAATCAGAGCTGATCGCCAAGTCCTACCCCTAGGCGAGGCTGATACTCAGCCGCCTACCTGATACAAAAAAGCAATAGCAATAGCGCTCATAAGGCGG